CTCATATAGTGTGTCCCACTGGGCGTGCCAAATTATGTTTCCCTCTTTTCGGCCCGGTAGGCCGATTGAAGAAGTTTTTGGTCCTTCTTCTTTTTTGAGTGCGGGGCGTGCCACCACCAAGCCCCGAATTTGGGCTTGAATGGAATGTATGGATGTGTTGCGTCCGAGATTTGACTTTAAGCAAACGATTGTTCGGCCGAGCCAGGAACCTCCTCACGGCCTAGGTTCTTTTACTACCTCGGAGTCAAGGCTTTATGTGAGCAACCAAATGATGTGGAGTGGGTGGAGATGAAGATTGAAGGTGAAATGTAATGAAACGAAGAACACGTGCGTAAAGTAAAAGGTGCTTGAATTTAAATATAATTAAAAGACAAGTGCGAAAAGTAAAGTGCTTAAAAATAAATAATTTAAAGACGAGTGCGTAATTTAAAGTGCGTAAAATAAAGAATGTAAAGACGATTGCGTAATGTAAATTGCATAAATTAAATAATTGAAATGCGAGTGCGTAAAGTAAAGGGCAGAAAGTAAACTAGATTACGAATAACAGTGAAGATAACATGAATTGAAATTATTGTAATTGAAATAGAATTGAAAAACAAGAACAAGAACATAAAGGCATAATTGAAATCTTCGGAAACTAGAGTGGAAAAAATAAGAACTAGGCTATGGCTACATTATGCTACTCCTATGATAGAAATTGAAGAGAATGTAAAATGACAAGTTGTGTGTTGTGTCGGGGGTCCTTTCTCTCTTCTATAAGCTTGGTATTTATAGGGGCTTCGGTGCGTCTCAATTTGGTCGGTCGTCAATTGGCCTTCAAATCAATCATAATTGCTCCAGAATATCTTCAATCCCTTGTCTCATGCATGTGATTTAATATGAATAATAATATTTGATTTGATTTTCCTTCCATCTTGAGCTCTCCCACAATAACTTCGGTTGACCATCAATCTGGCATAATTCCTTCTATATTTGAATTGTAACCTATGAGAAAATCCTCCTACGAATTCTCTCTCTCCTTATTTAAACATTGGTTGATTTCATGTATTCGGCCGCTTTTAGTCATTCGATCGTATCTACACTTTCGGCCCCTTTTAGTCATTCAACCGCTTTTATGCTCTCGGTCGTATTGATATGCTCGGCCAGATTAATGTACGCAGCCACATGTAGATATTCGGCCACCTTTATGATTTTGGGCTTCTATCCGACTTTATTGATTAGGCCCACTGATTGGGCTCAATGTTAATTTACTTGTCGACTCTTGGGCCTGACCCAGTCCAATTTCAACCAGTCCCAAACAGAGACTTTGCACCACTTTGCCAATTGAATTTTCAATGGACAAGTTCATTGGGCTTGAGACTTGCACTTGACAGCCCAACATATTTTAATGGGCATAGCCCATGACTCTATGTCTTGGGCACTAGGCCTTATTGCGTGGACGAACCCATGAAGCCCATAGTCCCTTATTGACTCAGCTTTGAATTTTGGTGGAACTATATTTATTGCAAGTGGACATTAATATGGCTCTTTTTGTATAATTAATACTAGTCCAATTCCATTTTTAGTTACTTTATAATTGAATTTCACCAAGTTCTCCAGCTTGTTTGTGCCTAATAAATCTCGGCCGCGAAAGCCGACCGAGGGAACTTCCTCTCAGCCTTGGCACCTGCCTAGGAAAGGCAAACATGGCAGGGTGTTGTTCGTTTTCTTTCATGCACCTGCTCAGATACACGGCCAAAGTAGGAGAATCAAGTGATATCGCCACATGGCATCATGGCCCCACGCTTCATTGAATGAAGTAGTGCCTCTGATCACAATAGAAAGCCCATGATCCACAAAGAGCATTAATGAGCCAAGAAAGGGGGGACGTGATTGAAGTCAGATGCGGTGAGTAAAATCAGGGATTAGGTGTGAAAATCCCACGATTTTGTAAGGTTAACCCACCAACCATCAGACTAGAGCATTAAATGCGTCTCCACGGCCAAAGCAGAACCCACGATCAAGGCGGCGACCGGGATTTATGAGGTCACACCACCATGCTTCACGATCCCAAATGCCGATTTGACTACCCACTTGCTCTGATCAGGCCCATCATGCAGAGTTTCAGCCTCAATTGTCTCTTCAGAGCTCCTCCTATAAATACCAAGCTCGAACTACATTCAAAGGGTTCAACACCAAACACAAGCCTCCCACGGAGTAGAGTACATTTTTCTGTCATTTACTTCTTGTCATTTACATTCCTGTAATGCCATTTCAATACATTTACTTGTTTTCTTAGGAGTAGTGGCAGTTTGTAAAAAAATCCATTCATCAATATGTCACACGACCCTTGATTTTCAAGGCGTCGGAGCACCATCCTTGTTACTTTTTCGTTCATCCCATATATCATACGACCATCGCCACCCAGCGACGCGTCGGAGCACCACCTAAAACCACCATCAGCACCACCATCAACGGCCTTGTAGCTCAGGCCGTGAACCTAACGGCCGAGATCAGTTCCTCTCTTGGCCACAATCGTTTGATTAAAAGTTAGACTCAAACAGGCGCATCACTCATATATCCAACCAATCATATCACCCTCAAACGCACGGTGAACCGTGCTGGCACACCCGTGCATCCAATCGCACAAACCCAAGAAGGACGACCTGTGTTGACGCAGACCCACTTAGCCCGGAGCACCAGGTCGTGAGATTCGCGAACGCCAACACTTTTTGGCACGCCCGGTGGGACCTCTATATCATTGTCGGAACCTTGTGGTGGAAACTAGGTCGCAGGCAAAGCACAAAAACAAGACAGTCGAAATGACTTATGAGTCTCCTGAGTCAACCTCGCCGATAAATATTGATAAGCCCATATTTTATATATATTTTATGCCTCCTTTACTTATCTATTTGTTAATTTCCTTGGATTAAATTGGTTGTTTTAATTAGTTTTGTGAGATTTGTGAAGGAATTGTAAAATTTGAGAAATTGAGGTAAAAAGGGGCAAGAAGATGAAGATTGGAGATTAATCAAGTCAAGAAGCCAAGTCATTCCTTTTGTCGCAAGGAATGTTGTCAAATTTCCTAATTCAAGATGTTTCAAGTCTTATCAAGTCAAGCAAGGAGAAATAAAGAAGACCCTATTTTGGAAGGAATCCTACTTTTATAATAATTGTAATTATACCTTAGATAGGTAGGATTTGTAGGAGTATTATAAATAGGGAGTTTAGGTCATTGTTCAAAGGACCGATCGAATTACCCACCATCAAATTCCTACACATTCATACTCATAGCCGAAATATCCAAAGGAGAATACGAAGAGAGCTTGCGCAACCTTGGCATTCTACTTGGAGAATTCGGTGCCTTCCATGTCTTCATCAACTATCAAGATTCTCAATAAGTCCTTCATGAACTAATTCCTTTTACTAGGGCTACGATGTAGCCTAGCTATGAATACTCAAATTCTTTGATATTGTTAATTTTATTTATCTATACATGTTGAGTGCTTGTTACCGTTCTTAATGCTTTCAATTAATTGGCCACTAATTGCATGATTGGAAGAATTAGGTTGAAACCGGAAGGAGATTCCTAGTAAATAGCTTCTTGTAACAAGTACCATAAATTACATAGCCGACTCGGAAGATTAGGTTATGGTTTGTGTAATCTTCATTGTTTTCCACAAATCTTAATGGGTTCTTAGCTATCTAAATCCATAACTAGGAATAGAGTGGGTTGACTGTAAGGAATACAACTAATATAACTCGGAAGAGAGTATTAGTGAGGTAAGGGAAAACGATTATCAACATGTTAGGTAATTAGGATTAACAAGCTAGAAGGATTTGGGAGGGATTAGTTAGGTGAAATCGATGCCCTAGTGCTTTATCATCTTTGTTTTCATCTTTTACATTATTTCCATAATCTCAATTTATTTTGCTTGCTTAATTAGATTTTAATCATCATAATTCTCTTTTCGTTTAATTCAAATATAATTAGAAATAAATCACTCTAGTATTTAATAGATTACTTGATTCCTGTTGGAACGATACTCTACTTACTACTATATTAATTTGAGCGATATTGTCCACTTGCAATTAATCACATCAAATTTTGGCACCGCTGCCGGGGATTGACTTAGTCTGTTATATTAGTGCGCTTTATTTTCTAGTTATACCTTGAATATTTAATTAGTTAATTTTTTTTTATTTTAGGTACTTTTTGAGTTCAATTTGAATTCATTTTAAATCAAAAAAAAAGAAGAGGAAACGTGAAAAGCTTCAAACCATCAGCAAACAAAAGGCAAAAAGAAAGAAGCCCAGTGGCAAAGAAAGGAGAAAAAAAAAAAAAAAAAAAAAAACAGCAACAA